GGATAGCTGGCTCTGACCCTCACTGGACACTACAGCAAGGGAGCTGGCTTTGCCTCCCGTGGGAAATAGCCCTCACCATGGGCATGAGAGAGCTTGTTCCCATGGCATGGTCCTAGGAGAGCTGGCTCTGCCCCTTGCCTGAGGGAGGGCAGTGGTCCCAGTGGCCCAGACCCACCATCTCAGCTACTACCCAGACCCACATCTGGGCCTTAGGTTGACCCACCCAAACATCTACCCCATCTATGACAACCACAGGATCCCTGTGACTCAAGGCAACAGCAGCACATCAGAGAGGAGTTTCTGTGGGGGTTCAGTGATGATGTACCAGAGGCCTTGAACCAGACCAATGACTCACTGAAGTGAATATTATTGGGTAGGGCTGACTGGTCAAAGGGGTATGGGGTATACTGTGTGATACACTGTAGCACCCAATATTGTGAGGATGAATGAAGGGGTATTGAAAAGACAGAGGAGCAAGGAGGGTTTTTTTGTGGGCACCCTCCCAATTTTAAATAAACAGAGTAACTAAATTTTGTTTCAAGCAATTATTGGACTGAATTGAATTTCAAATCCCCTAGGATTAACAAATAATAATGTTCACATCCATAATATTCGTCTCATTTCAACTATGCTCTTACTCCTTCAAAAGTAAACAATGAACATATTTATGGAAATATAATAATTCGAGTAATTTAGATGGTATTCTAGAGGAATTGATATATGAAAAGTATATTTATTAATATCAGTTATTATGAATATAATAATTTCTAATACTTAAAACACTATCTTCAAGCTTTTAGTGTGTCCTTTTTTTTAAAAGTGTTTCTTTGCAGCTATGCACTTAATTGTTTATTTCAAGCTTTGAAATAAACATGGTAGCTCCTGGGGAAAGGGTAGACCCCTACTCAACACCAGTTATTGGATTTTCAATAAATTCTGATTTAACCCAAGAAGCTCCAGAATGCAATGGTCATATTCTTTAGTCTATTTTTATTTTACCTAGAATTTCCTAGAGAATTCCTTGATTACTACTTTTAGGAATCAATGAGGGTAACATCTACGTGGAAGTTGTCTTTATAATGGACTCTAATCAAATCGGGCCTTGTACGTTTTGTTTTATAAACCCTTACTTTCCCATTATGCATACTTGAATCTCTTTTTCCACATTTCTGAGAAATTATCACTAGGCAGACAATTAACATTATTGCTTTGCATCACTATACTTATTTGTTTTCAATTTTCATTGACAATTACCTTGAGTTAATATAGTGCTTTGCACCTTTTGATTGTCACAAGTCTATCTTTGCAGCCAATTGTTTATTCATGAAACAAGCAGACCCCATTGTTTTGTGCTTTGCTACCGAAGGATCAGGTCCCTCCTGATGCCATAAGGAGGGCATGGCAGGAAGGGCACAGTGAAGAAATGACATTCCTAGAGGAAGGTGGATGGATAGTGGCATTTAGACACAAGAAACTGCACTCAGCCTTAAAGAATTTATTTTCTTGGTTTATTTGAATTTCTTAATACGTTTTGAGTAATAATTATCTAAACAAAATTTCCTATGTACAACTTTTTTCCCCCTGGAGATTTCCAGTCAAAACACATGGTTCTTGAAAAAATATAATTGTCTTACTACTTTGGTATCTAAGGATCAGGGGACATTAATTTAGAATAGTATTTTTAGCTCCAGATAATCTATCCTTGTGTCAAAGAACAAAACCTTTTTTTTTTTCTTTTCTTTTCAAATAGGAACTTTTAGAAATATCTTTTGTAAGCTGGTTTTCAACTAGTCAGCATCTTCTCTCCTCAACAAAATCTTTAGTGTAAGTGGGACATGATATTTAAGCAATTACTGATGAATCCCAACTTCAGCTATGATCATTGCAAAGGTTCAGTTTAAAACCTTGTTGTATTATATGCCTGGTAAAAGAACTACATAACAATGCTGGGCTTGGATCAAATTTCCATGAAAATGTTAAAACATAATTTATCTCTTATAAAGTATTTCAGAGAAATTCCCCATGATGGATGATCCATCACACAGAGATCTATAACCTGACAGGTTCTGGCTTGATTCTAGTAAATTCAAACTAGAAATAAAAGCAGAGTGATTGATATTTTTGTGTGGAAATCGTATCAGTCATAGGCATAATAAAGCAAGCTTTTCCCTATGTTAACTTCAGAAGTCTTGAAATTTAAATCTGTTTGGAGAATGATGCATCATTTAACCAGTCCTGTCTTATTTTCTGCATTACTTCAAACCAGATGATGGTGATGATGATAATGGTGATGATGATAATGGTGATTTTGTGACATTGTCTCAGTACACATTCCTGCTTGATTCATAACTCAGCAGGCTAGCCTAGAACTGACATACATCTGCCTTCCTCTACTTCCAGAAGGAAATGTTGGAATTAAAGATGTGTGGCCACCATATTTGGCTAGCTTCTGCATCTCTTAAGAGTTAAACATAGAAGAATTGGCTGAGTGTGAGCATGAAGAAAGGCAACACTAGTTAAAAGTACAACAAAAAGTCATACATAATTATTAGTTACCTACCAAGAGCATATCGACAAATTTCCTAAATTTTAAGAAAGGGAGTATTTGATATTTCATGTCCATTAATTTGAGGATGAATATGAACTACTTGGGAATTTTGTAAACATGCTTAAACGTGGTACATGTGAAACACAGTACATCATACCATATTAAACATGCTACACTACACTCTATCATATTAAGGTAGAAAGGCAAATCTCAGATGTCATAAACACAAACTCCAGACTCAAAACCTTTTAACTTTCTTGAAAAGGAAAAATAAGTTTGGACCATTTAGCATCCAGTACATAAAGAGCAATTGCTGACTGAAGGCTCCTGATTTGTGCCATACATATGCATTTACATATGCTAATAAGTTTGCAGAATTTGTATTCAAGTAGGTTCTTGCTATGTATATGCTTGCCCTTTGATCATAAATATTTATTTTGCTACATTTTTAAAGTTTTGACCTTGGAACTTTCAATGTCCATTATAATCTCTGCAGTTGCAATTGCATTTTAATAAACAACTTAATTCTATATCTGTGAGGGATTTTACTAGAATAACCCACATATAATCACACATTTCAGGAAGAGTTTCTCAGAGTCTGTCTTTCTGTGCATACTCATCTGTCGTTTTTCAGTGTTATGAATCACCACACATGGCAGCATTGTTTTGGTATGCTGAAATGATTGAGTAGGAACTGTGCCCAGGTCGATGCATCTCCAAGCACACTGCCTGCATTGTGTGTCTGCCCAAGTAGATTTTCTCTGATGCAGTAGTGATTTCTCTCTCTCTCTCTCTCTCTCTCTCTCTCTCTCTCTCTCTCTCTCTCTAACTTTGGTCTTAAGAATTCAAAACTATGAAATTCAAAGCTCAGATTTGAACACTATTGCAATTTGTAGCGAGTCCCTGACTATTACTGCTTTAGGAATTGCATTCTGCATTTCTTCACCTTAGGTCTGTAATCAGAATCTATAAGTGGATCTTTTGTTGCCGTGTTTACTCTGATTAACTGGGCTTTCTATCCTTTCTCTTAAAGTAGGGTCAATTATTGTTTGCGAAAAGAAAATAAAACAGTTTAAAACAAACTTCTAAAAGCTTCTGTTTTCAGGATTAAGTTATTCCTTTATAAAAAAGATAATCCTGGCACCCTCTCCCAATAAAGCACACAGGCTGTAGCCCCACAACACTAGTAGGTAACAGTGTTGCCTTCACTTTGTAAAGCGGCATTTTTCTTATAGATTTTGTGAATTGATACATGTCTTATGCTTTTACAAGGGGGTAGAAAACATAACAGGCTTGGTTTAAAAACCGAAGGGGGAAAAAGAAATGACTGAAGAAAATATTTAAAGTGACAACATTTAATGATTGTTTTTCATTTTATTAAATCCTTTCAGAGTCTTTGGGTTTCCTTAATACAGCTAATTTAAGACAAGCGTTTCTAGGTGGCGCTCTGAAGCACTTGCCGGAAGGTGGCGGCATAAGCAAGCCCTTCTCGCGTAGAACTGTCCCAGGTGCTGAACCCAATTTCAGAGAGCCGCACAGTGGCCGCACAGGGTCTTCAGAAAGTTCTCTGGAGACTTGTAAACTGGTGAAGGAGATAAAAACTCCCAAGTCCGTAGGAAATGCCGGTTCTTGTTTACAAGGCAAAGTAAACATTTATTTTCCCAAATTTACTTGCTACAAAGCTGTGGGAGGTGTTACTGACATTGAAATGAAGAGAGAGGTGGTAATGAAATGTGTGCGTGTGTTTAAAATACACACCGACTTGAATTTTTTAATAATTTCTTTGCGATCCAGCTGTTTATCAGCTCTTGTCCTTTAACGTGTCCTTTATAATCCCCCCCATTCCACAAGGATAGTACGAAAAGGTCATAGGCACCAGCGCTCCAAGATAGACTAAGATATTAAATGAGACTGCATTTTTAAGAAGCTAAGACCCACACCCTCAACCTAATAATTTAGAGGGTGACCCAGAGCTGCCCAGATTCCCACCGTTCAGGTTTTCTGTGTCTGTCCCCATTTCTATAAGCACACTGTGAATCCGGCTGTATTTAAGAAGTTGACAGAAATAAAGGGAATGAGTCTTAGGGAAAGAATTTTCTCTCTCTAGTTTACTGGGCAGGAGGCGGAGTTTAATCTGTTAAAACATTGGTTTGACTAGCGGATCTGAGTGGGTATATGAAGTGAGTTCTGCGTGTGTCGACTCGAATGTAAAGATGCCTGTCTAGAAGGATAGGAGGGCGGGGACCTAGAGGAAGGAGGCACTCTGGGCTGGGGAAGTGTTGGGTGGTGGTGGGGGTTAGCGTGGGAGGGAGGGAGACTAGCTGTCTGAGCGACACATAGAGGGATAATAAGAGATGTGAGAAGGAAGGGGAAACTGGAAGGGAAGGCCAGTGGGAGGAAGCCAGGAGAAGGAGGCTGAAGAAAAATCCGAGACTGGAGAAGTCCAGAGAGGGGGTGGGGGGAAAGGGAACTAGGACACTAGGGTCACAGAATGACCCCAGAGCTCGGGGTTTCTGAGATTCCAGACTGATTGCTAGTCCGCAGTGTCCGGCTCCCTCAGCTAGTTGGGCAGCGACAAAGTGAAATGGACAGCGTGAGACAGATGTTCCAGCCACCTCTCCACAGCCAGAGATTTGGAAGCTGCTCTCAGGCCAACTACAGTTTCCTTCCTGGAGTCTCTGAGCGCTCGGGACCCGCGGGAGCCGAGCAAGAGCGTGCGCCTGGAAGCTGCTCCGCTCAGATGCCTTCACCAGAGCAGTAAGAACTTCCCGCTCCAGCCCCTGGATCCCCTCCCTCTGAAATTCCCCAGAAAAGGAGGAAGACCCTAGGGGGAGGGGCGAGGGAGATCCCCTTGCAGCTCTTTCCTCCTCCCTTCCCCCACCCCACCGGGCGTGCAGGCAGGCATGGATATGTTCAGTCTTGGCCAGGGCAACAACACCACATTGTCCCAGGAGCCCTTCGGTACAGGCGGCAACGTTACTGGCATCTCCAACGTGACCTTCAGCTACCAAGTGATCACCTCTTTGCTTCTGGGCACGCTCATTTTCTGCGCGGTGCTCGGCAATGCCTGCGTGGTGGCTGCCATCGCCCTGGAGCGCTCCCTCCAGAATGTGGCCAACTATCTCATCGGCTCCTTGGCGGTCACCGACCTTATGGTGTCAGTGCTGGTGCTGCCCATGGCTGCATTGTACCAGGTGCTCAACAAGTGGACTCTGGGCCAGGTCACCTGCGACCTGTTTATCGCCCTGGATGTACTGTGCTGCACCTCATCCATCCTGCACCTGTGCGCCATCGCGCTAGACAGGTACTGGGCGATCACTGACCCTATAGACTACGTGAACAAGAGGACGCCCCGGCGCGCTGCTGCGCTGATCTCGCTCACTTGGCTCATTGGCTTTCTCATCTCCATCCCGCCCATGCTGGGCTGGCGCACCCCGGAAGACCGCTCGGACCCCGATGCATGCACCATCAGCAAGGACCACGGCTACACCATCTACTCCACTTTCGGAGCTTTCTATATCCCGCTGCTCCTCATGCTGGTCCTCTATGGGCGCATCTTCCGAGCCGCGCGCTTTCGGATCCGCAAGACTGTCAAGAAGGTAGAAAAGAAGGGAGCAGGCACCAGCCTCAGTACGTCGTCGGCCCCGCCCCCCAAGAAGAGCCTGAACGGACAGCCAGGTAATGGGGACTGGAAGCGCAGCAGCTCTGAGAACAGGGCTGTGGGGGCTCAGTGCGTGAATGGCGCGGTTAGGCAGGGTGATGACGACGCCGCCCTGGAGGTGATCGAGGTGCACCGAGTGGGTAACTCCAAAGACCACCTGCCGCTGCCCAGCGAGTCGGGAGCTACCTCCTATGCCCCCACATGCTTGGAGAGAAAAAATGAGCGGAATGCTGAGGCAAAGCGCAAGATGGCTTTGGCCCGTGAGAGGAAGACAGTGAAGACACTGGGCATCATCATGGGCACTTTCATCCTCTGCTGGCTTCCCTTCTTCATTGTGGCTCTGGTCTTGCCTTTCTGTGAGAGCAGCTGCCACATGCCTGCCTTGTTGGGTGCCATAATCAACTGGCTGGGCTACTCTAACTCCCTGCTCAATCCAGTTATTTATGCTTATTTCAACAAGGACTTTCAAAACGCATTTAAGAAGATCATCAAGTGCAAGTTCTGCCGCCGATGATGATGATGATGATGACAGTGATGATGATGAAGACGAGGGTGGTGTTGATGGAGAAGGAGGAAGAAGGGGGAGAACTGTAGGGGTTAAAGGATCCTCCCCATTCACTCAGTATCCCAGCCCTAGAAGCAACACCTAAGATACCTTGCTTTTCCTGTGACATGCAGCTTCTTGGCCCATGCTTTTGGATCTTGCTCTCTTTCTGCCCCATTTCAAGGGGACAGTGCTCTTTGCAGAAACCTTAGAAACCTCCTAGAGTTTGCAAAATGTTATTGGCTAAGTCTTTGGCCCTAGGATCAGTTTTGATAGTTGTAATAACCTCCTCCCTCTTCGAAATTAAACCTCAGTGGTTCAAGGCAGAAAATCCAAACAGAAAATAGAAGCTGCTTGGATATCTGCCAGGAGAGCTGCCACCTCTCTGCGCGACTTCTGGAACTCCCTGCCTTGCTCTGTAGCCAATAGGAGGCTCACCCCCACCACCCCCGTGCATAGCGCCCACTTTCTGTGTTTTCTTGAGCTCAAAATCAAGTGGCAAAGGTGTCTGTTGGAGTGGACTTTTGAATACGAGGCCAGGCCAGTGGGGGGAAATCCAGAAAAGCTTGTGGATGGTTTCTCGATGTTAGCACTCACCAAAGAAACCAACATCAGTCTCTTTAGAAGGCAGACTTTCATTTGTATGCTTTGATGGCCCTTCTCTAAGTTCTAGCAAGGCCATTTAGCTACTGCCTGGGCGCCCACTGCTGGCCTGGGAGGGCGAACTGGGGATGCTGAGATGCCAGGGATAGAGGGGATGGAGCGCCCCACCCTCCCCTTGGTTTCTGGAGGGGAGCTCCCCTAGAGTGCTCTGGATTTGCAGCATCCAGGTTCCTCTGCCTCATCTCTGCCACAAAGTCCAGGAAATGGTAGAGAAGTTAGAGTTTGTGCAAGAGAAAGGAGAACTTGCACCAAGTGTGAGAGACCTAGAAACCTCTCAAGAGTGTGGGTGTGGGGCATGTAGAGAGCAAAAGAGCAAAAAAGATTCCTAAGTGCTTCCACCTCCCGCAGCACGTCCCAAGGAATCTAAAGGGGGGTAATTTTCACTATAGGATGCGACTTTTCTCAATCCACCTTTGCCCCTGTTGAGCAAAGAATCACTATGTTTAGTAAATCCCAGTACTTCCTAGATTCATTTTCCCAGACATCCTGGGCGTACAGAAAATTAGCAGAACTCTGGGCTCTCATTTGAAGGGTTTCAACACCTCACCATTTCCCAGGAACTTGATCTCAGAGACAGATACCTAAAGGAGCCAGAGTCCTGAGAGAACAGGTTAGAGGGTACTCTCCTTGAAGTCTCAGAATCTCAAGGATTGATATCTCCCTGGCTCTTCTTTACCAGAATTCTGCTAGGAAAACCGGTTTTGTGTCCTGTGACTTTTCAATTTATAGAGCTTTTATATTTATTTATTTATTTATTTATTTATTTATTTATTTATTTATTTATTTGCTTAGGCGTTCTCTCCCTGCAGTTATTTTTGCTGCCCTCTCCCCCAAAATGAAAATTATTTTGGTGCTTTGTTCGAATGTACATTCCCAGCTACATGAGTGGGCATCAAGGGATTTGTGTTATGTCTGAACCTCGAATTTTCTGTTGAGTTGATGGTTTCATTTCTCAGTAATTACACGGAATTTCCTCACTCCCCTCCCCTTCAGTTATATCTTTCTGATGTCTGCACCTGCTGTGTTGAAAACCATGTTGCATATTTTCGTTGCCAAAGTTGTCGGTTAGATGTCCCCCTTGTGTTTATAAATAGGGTGAAAGGACTCAGGGTCCACGTGAAGCCAGGGCTCTTTGTCAAACTGAACGAAGCCTCTATTTGGTGTCTTTTGCTCTACTCGCATGTTGGAATGAATATGCTACTTCATTGTGGAAGAGACTCTTCAGCTCTTAAGCCTGCTGGGTATCTGCGTGTGAGAGGCTCATGGGAGCTCAGTGCAAACAATACAGGATACAAGGGGCTTCTCTAACACAAGTTCAAAAATTAAGATTTGTCTTTTTTTTTTCTCACCAAAATTAAGCAGAACTATATGGTGAAACAATTTTTTCCTGTATGTTTTACTATTTTTTTTTAGAACAGATTCATTATTTGAAATAAATCAGCCCCCCCCCCCCGATTTCAGATGTTATACCAGAAACCAAGACATTTCACATCTAGTTTGACTGTGATGGGGGTGGGGTGGCATTTGCTTCTGCTACCTGGAGAGACTTTTACCAAGACTGGAAAGGGGGCACCCAATCGGAATAAAATCTCCAATCAATAGTGAAGTAAGTGCAACATGCCGCAAAGGTCCTAAAGAACCCAGGCTGCTTCTTGTTTTATTTCAGTACACTTGTACTAAGGTAAAATATTCATGCATTAAAACTCGCCTTTCCTTGTGACAATAAAGGACTTTGATAATGGTGATGCTGTAATAAACACCAGTAACCAGTCTCCACTCGTGCTGGTTGTATTAATACAAACTAAAGCCGAAAAATAGGGGCAATCTCATGATTCAGGTTAGGGAATTGTTTTTGTTTTCTGACAGGGTCTAACTAGAAAGCCCTAGCTGGCCTGGAACTTTCTGTGTAAAGTTAGCTGGCCTTTATCTCCTTGCCTCTGCTCTGGAGTCCTGGACTTAAAGATGTGGGCCACCATGTCCTGGTCAGATAAGGAATTTAACACTTAGAAAAACGTTAAGTTTTAAACCACCACTGCTGGACAAGTGATTTCTCTCTTCCCTCCTTCCTCTCATTCTTAAAATCCACTTTGCAAATAATAATTTATTTCATGCATGAAACCATGCATTTTCCATGACCTGAGCCTGCAATGAGGTTTTGGCATCTGTCTCAGAAACGTGGAGAAGGGTAGGAGGAAATCCCCACCTTTTCAAGTGAAAAGCGTAGCTGAGCCTCTTTCTTTGTGCCCCTTGTAATACCCAGCTAGAGGGCAATGACAGCTGGTTTCCAAAGGAGCTGTTCATTGTTGTAGGGCTGTTGCCTAAAACGAAGGGGCATTTTCTTTTCTCCCTGGGTCTCATTTGACAGTGGGTTCCAGGAGTAACACTTACCTCTGAGTGAAAAATAATGCATAAGCTCTTTTCTCCCCACTAGAGTCATCATAGCACCCTTTTCTGGTGTCAGAATGACGGCAGCAGTCAACTTCAGTTAACCGCAAGTGTGAACAGTGGTCAGGGCTACTAAGTCCCCAGCAAAACACCCTCAGAGTTTTCATGCAGTCTGATTCAGGATGAAGAGTTTATATTATACATTAAAGTTGGAGGACTCGATACATGAGAAGTTCTTGGAGTTTCTTACTTGAAAAATTTTATACATTACTTTATATAAATGTATCACTGACCTTTCATAAAATGCGGAATTCTACACATTTGTCTTTGGAGCTTGGAGGAGCCTCTTTCCCTACCCCTCTCTCCTCTGCCACTGCTTCTGCTGTGGAGAAGGCAGATTTCTGTTTCTATGGGCCTTCCTTTCTACAGGAAAATCTGCAGAGGTCAGCTCTCCAGCTCACAGAGGGCATTGTTTCCAGTCACTCCCAGAGAGGCAAGAAGGACCCGGAGATGATCCACTAGCATGCTCACATGTCAGCCCTTGTTTGATAATTTGAGATCGCAAAACAGTATAAGCTATTATTGCAACGAGGACAATTTCAGCCTGGTTGGGTATGTACAAAGAAGCTGCTATGACTAAGTTCCCACTCAGGAGGGGAGAAAGCGCTCTCTGTACGAGACAAACCAAAGGAGCAGGAGCGAGAAGAGATTTCTGGCCAGGTGAGAGTTGGGATGAACTTCAGGTGTCCTTTAGGAGGTGACTGTCTGATCCCTGTTTCTTAGGGATCAGGCACCTGGGATGACATTTTTTCCGTGGTCTTTTGACCTTGATTAACTACCAGGGTGGCTTGTGCAGGTGATGGTCTTCGACAATGAGGCAGAAAAACATGTTCCACAATCTGAAGGCCGCATGAAAGGTGGGGGGGGGGGAGAGGAATCTGAAGTCAAAGGAAGTAAGATGGGGGATGATCAGATAAGAGAAATGTTTTAAGCAGAGGAAGGGCAGAAACAGTGACAACAAGGTCAGGGCATGACAAGAAATTTCACACTTATGAAATGGTTTTAATTATATAGTTTACTTAATTGATCAATTAAATTTGGTCAAATGCTTTTCTTCCACATACAACATACCCCTTACATCCTTTTTAGAACTGCCAAAGAGGTCATTTTGAACTAGAACAGTGCATTTTGGTGTACAGTTCTAGAAAGACAAGAGCCCATCGTGGAGGGAGTCACAGCAGCAATCAGTGGGCATGGCTGCAGGAGCAGGAAGCTGAGAACACAAGGCAGAGAGAGCCCACTGGGAGTGAGGTGAAGATGTGATGTGCTTCCTGCAGCATGGCTCCAACACCACTCAAGCCGCACCACCAACTGGGAAACGAGTGTCCACATACCCTCATCAGCTGGGGCGTTTCTCCTTCAGACCACCACGTGCAGATTGACAGAGCAGTGAGTAGCTGCAGGGAACAATGCTGAAGAGCATACCGACAGGCATTCAATACAGGTCCAAAGGCAGAGGCAGAGTTCTGGTTAGTGAGGATGCTAATAATGGAAGGAATGCTGTATGTGGAGATGATTCCAGCGATGCAGGTGTGAAGTAGCAACAAAGACTGCAGTGAAAGGCCGAGAGAAGGGAAGGAGGACTGGAAAACAAGTATGGCCATAAAGTAGTTATTTAAAAAAAGTATCAGACACAGACACACACACACACACACACACACACACACACACACACACACACCCGCATGCACGCACACACACACACACACACACACGCATGCACGCACACACACACAGACAGACACAGAGAGAGAGGGGAGAGAGAGAGAGAGAGAGAGAGAGAGAGAGAGAGAGAGAGAGAGAGAGAGAGAGAGAGAGATTCTGATGAGGTTTCCATGCTAGAAGATTTGGGTAAATGACAAAGAAGGAAAGTCAGGGTTA